TGCTGAATTGCTTCTGTAAAAATGCATACGTGCAAAACTGCATCTTAACAACTTGTGTAAAATAACTCTGGCTTTTGGAAGCTGGCTTGGAGATGCAAGTTGCCTGCATTAGGGACACCTCCCGTGAGGCTTCAGTGCACATCAAGGGGCCCTCAGTGATTTAGCCCTTTTCTCTGAATTCCGCTTGTCAAACTCCAAACTGTACATTTTTAGCTAGTATTACAATCCCAGACTGTGTACAGAAAGTCCATCTGCACATATTACAAGGTCTGCCCAAGCAAAACCAGCTCGGAACAACTCTGGCATGTGCTGCTTGGGAAAACTGGAAGCTTCTTCACCAGGGGGACAAAACCTCATCATGGCTATTACTACAAACAGTGCTGTTTTTGCATTGTCCTTCTGCCTAAAACCACCACTTTCTGATTGCAAGGGAGGATGCAAACTGAACCAAAAGGCAGGGTTCCTTCCCAGACAAACGGGAGGGGGCAGATGAGGGAGAGGAGCTCTTTGGATGGCAGTGAAGGAGCCCCAACACACCAGCAACTCACGGCCGTCGAAAGCAACACAGGCTTCATTCCTCCAGCATGGAGACAAACGCAATTCTTTATCAGCCAAGAATGTGAGAGCTGGCAGGTCTGCACCACACAGGCTCTCCCTTTCACCAATTCTGACTTCAGAGGCTCCTCCCAAGCTCAGGGCTTCACCTCCCACGAGCCTTCAAACACTACTCCAGCAGAAAGAATGGGAAGAGCAGGGGTCCCAGGGAAGAAGTTCCCTACTGTCTGCTCCAAGCTTCTCTCCCCCTGCACTTCATGCCACAGCTTGCTCCTTCTCTGACCAAAACTGAATCCTAGAAGACCTAATTCTGCCAAGCACCTAGAGCAGCCACACCCCATGTTACTAAGAGGATATTAGCACCTGCCACGATTTCTTCAATCCCACACACTGTGGCTCAGGGACATCCTGAATGCTGAACCGGGGCTGGGAGACCAAGGACACGGGCACATGAGAACTTCTGAAGTGATGCTTTCTACAGAGGCACTTCAATATTTTTTGAGACAAGAAAATGTAACAAAGCACCTCTGCTGTCTTATTCTACCAGAGATGCTTATGTTGTTAAAGTCAATCCCAACATACACTGAAAATGTTCAGTGAAGCTAAATCCCATGTCAAATAAAGTATTAATTTTACTAGACAGTAGTTTATACGGTAAAACTATGGGGG